AACATAAGTTCTTGGGTACAAGATTACTTAAAAAAGAAAAAGGAAAAGCAGATTAGAAAAGAAAATATATTATATTTATAAGAAGGAATTTAATGGTAAATTTAATTAAAAATGAGAAAATTATGTTAATCATGTGATTCATGTTCATGGGCATCAAATTATCGTATACGACAGGCAAAGTATAATTGAATAATGGAAACGCGGTTTCTGTAGTGGACAATTCCAGGACCAGGAGCACATGTCCTAAACAATATGTCTTGTCCTGTGAAGTGGTAACTGACTAATGATATCCTTGTTTGCTTGTCACCATGTTGAGAAGATTTTTTTTTTTTTAAACAGTACCTGAAACACCATGTTGAGAAGATAGGAGAGAATATCTCTCGGAAAAACAATGAAAAGAGACTCAATTATGAGACAATAATGAAAGCATTTTCTCAACCCGAGTGCAACACCCTACGTCATCACATATATGCTGCTCCTTGAGAAATGCTAGTGCAGCTTGCACTTTGACTGTAATTGGCTAGAATGCAATTTTTTTTCTTTTAAATTATTGTTTAAGTTAAAAAACGAAGGGAATCAATAAAAAGAAGAGTGTTTATCCATTCAAAATTACACCAAGTACACTCGACCAAGTATATATAGCTATATTCACTTCTCCAATTCAGTACATTAAGGACCTATAAATTCAAAATGTTTAGGTCGATTTGGTAGTAATTAATTATAAAATCTTTACGTGATTCACAATTAACATACAACTCATCAAAAAACTTTTGTCAAGGCAGACACTGTTTCATCTTGGTTGCATCAATTGCCATATAAAATTATAAATCTAATCATAACGGGTGTTTAATTAAATTAGTCATGTAAAATAATAAATGAGTTATTATCATTAATGATTTAAATAATTTAATATTATTTCTTTATTAATGAAAGTTAAATGTTATATAAAATTATGAGTTCAAATCATATGACATATAAGTAAAATAAATTAAAAAATAAAAAAAATCTTTTATTATATAATTCAAAATAAATGAAAAAGTGTCATTATCGAATTGGTTGACAATACAACCCAAAATTGTCATTGGCTTTAAAAAGTAAGAAGAGGAATGCTAAAGAGATGTAGTGTTATGCTAAATTGTAATTAAAATTGTATTGAAAAAAGTATTGATTTAGCTTGCTTTGATTGTTAAGAAAAATTAATAATTGATAGAATAACAAATATTTATTATTTAATAAATTAAATTAAATTTATAAATTAATAATTTTAAATATTATAACTATTTATTTAAAAAATTTATAAATATCGATCAAATTAAATATAATTTTAGTAGCTTTAATAAATGCATTGATAGGTATAACTACACCTATTAAAAACACTCTCTAATACTCTTCATATGATTGAGACACATGTAATATAAATTTAATATGATTAATTATAATTTTAAATTTTAAATATTAACTTTAAAATTAATTACTAATAACTCATTATACATAATTTATATTTTATGTTACTCAATTACATCACCCATTATTGTTGATGCAACAAACCTTCAAGACCTCTTTCGTTACAATCTTCTCACAAGATTAACCTGTAAAGCCCCGAGGATAGTATTCGGGGTAGACACTCCAATACTTAAGTTAGCAATAATCTGGTCTACACTCTCGAGGAAAATATTGAAAGAGTTCTCTCTCTGGTTTTTTCCATCATACCTCTTTTGAGTAGTGTGTGGACGTATTTATATACGTTGACAAGGTATCCATGTGTCTTGCTTAACCCAGTAATCATGACATGATTTGTTTGACGGAGTAGATGTCTTAGGTGAACGTAATGTGCCTTAACGAAGTAACCGCATTAAATGAGCGTGGCATGTTCTGACAGAGCAGGTCTCTTGGGGACAAAGGATTAAGTAAAGGCAGGTGATCGAGTAAGGGCGTTCGTATTGTAACTGTCGTACACCCTGCCTTGAGCTTTGCTCTACCCTTACAATTATATTAAATTTATATTTTATGTAACTAAAAATAACCGAGAATATTTAAAAGTGAGTG